GCAGAAATAAAATAATTTGTTAATAAACTAATAATAATTGTATATTAATAAATAATAATAAAAATATAATAAATAATTGTAAATTTTTATAAATATTGTAAATTTTTGATTAAAATGAAACTAAATTTAGGAATTTATTCTGTTTTAAAATTACTTAAATCAAGTTTAATGAAATAGTAAAAATTTTAATAAAGGTTTTTTAATTTTGTAGAAAAAATGATTTATTAATTTAAAAATAAAAGTGTTTTTTTTTTTTTTTTTTTTTTTTTTTAAGGAGAAAAATATTAAAGGAAAATGATTGAACAGGAATACGTTTTCATATATTTGGCGTATAATACGACTAAGTAGACATTTCTTAGTTACAGAGATAAAGGGATTAATTTCATATTTGTATAAATAATTACAATTGTTACGTATCTGGCAAAATCCACCAATTTTGTTTAAGTATTTCCTATCATAATTAATAAGAAAATTAAAGCGACCTAATTTATGCAGAATTTAGTTAATAAAATTAAAAATTAAGGGGAATTTGATTATTAACAAATACAGTTTTGAGAAATTGAAGGTCTTCAACGCAGTGTGAATAATTTTAATTCTCAAAATATGATTAATAATAGCGTTAGTAATTAATTTTTTAGAAATATTAAAATTCCAATATATAAGTTTAATGACATGAAAATTAACATGTCTGTTTTTGAAAAAGGTTAATTCTTTTACCGTTGAGAATTTGAAAGAGTGTAATGAATTTCGTTGTTATTGGTACTGATTTTATTAAGTTTTACACAATTGAAACTTCTGATTCAATTAATACGAATTATCGAAAATGATAGGGTCATCTAGGTATCTATTTCGAAACCATAACTGTGTTATATCATAAATTTATTACTTTTAATGCTTTTAACAATATTTTTTAATTATATAGATTATATAGATATATAATACATATATATATATATATTAACATATTATATATAGTAACATATATATCTATATATATATATATATATATATATATATATATATATATATAATATATATATATATATATATGTATGATCTTAAATCATTTAGTGCGAAAAACAAGTACTAGTATGTATTCACTCTTTTAAAATAATTCTACTTTAATTAAACTTATTAGGAGATAATTTAATCAATTAATCAATATTGTTTAGGAAATAAATTATATATTCATATGTATATCTATATGTGCATGTGTGTCTGTATACTTACCATAAAACCAAAAGTGTAGTAAAAGGTTTAAAAAAAAAAAAAAAAAAAGTAACTCTTTCCTTTCCTGCTGTTATACCTGGCTCTTAAAAGTGTAAAACACATAATTCTGTAAGTAAAACATATATTTCTATAGTATTTGGTGACTTCTAATTCATTATATTTACAGAAAAATCTAGATTTAATTAATTACCTTTCCATCCAGAGACGCCATTGTATCAATCCCTTTGCTTGACTTTAACAGCAATGAAACGAATAATGTTATTCTACTGTCGAAAGTAAACATACAGTTGTTGTTGTTGCTTATGCTCACTTGTCTGACGTAGTCAACACAAGCTCACGAAATACCTCGTGGCAAGGAGCGCTAGAATATGGCTTCCGTTGGCAACAGCCTTGAGCATCATTCAAGTGGCAGTGCGTTTTTGATCAGATTCGCCCCTAAATTTCATAGGGAAGACCCCAGGGGACGGGTCCAAGGGTCCTCTCTCGCCTTCCTCCAAACCACAGGAGAGATTCGCCGCATATTTAGAGAGAGAGAGAGAACGGAGGACGTGGGCACTATCCCCTTATCAAACGGTTAATTAGCATAGCACCATGTCCACCACTATCTATAGCACAATTAACCATAATGGTAAAGGGGTGGTGCCCACGTCCTCCGTCACTAAACTAAACTAAACTATCTATAGCACTCCTTCAAAATACATAATGCCACCTGAAAGGTATTCAACGTGTACGACAAGACACACAAAATAATATGTTACAGAGTTACAGGTTAATATTCAAGATACATTACTGGTACGTTACTGATACAGACATGACAGATGCAAAACTGATAAAAGGCTGATATAATACTGATATTAACACTGATTAATACTGCTACAGTACTGATACATTACTAACACTGAATATTATTACTGATAAATGGAATGATTTTGCACAGTCGGTAAATAGTCCACAAATAATACGTTACAGAGACTCAAATATTGCGAATTAAAATATCACAATGAATGTTTACTGTTACATTACTTGTACTATTGTACTATCTATAGCACCCTTTCAAAATACATAATGCCATCTGAAAGGTAATCAACGTGCACGACAAGAAATACAAAATAACATGTTACAGAGTTACAGATTAATATTCAAGGTACATTACTGGTACATTACTGATGCAAATATGACAGATGCAGAACTGATAAAAGGCTGATATAATACTGATATTAACACTGATTAATACTGCCACAGTACTGATACATTGATATAACACTGAATATTTAATGCTGATGAAATGGGAATGATTTTGCACAAGTCGGTAAATAAATCAACGAAATTATACGTTACAGAGACTAAAAAAAAAAAAAAAAAAAAAAAAAAAAATGCGAATTAAAATATCACAGATCAATGTTCTACTGTTAGATTACTTGTACATTACTGATGAGAGCGCCGCCATGCCGCACCGACATTATGCATTTACAAACATCCATGCCTTCCGGGATGCGAACCCGTAAAGCACTATATCGGTTTGGCGGCAAGCAAACAGTTGTCCTTTGGTATTGACATTGCGTCGACATGATATTTCTTAAAGTATAAGATCTCATATACAATGCTAAGTAAGTTGCTTTGAATTGAGCATAAACGAGAAAAATTGATCGATCACAAGAAAGCAAACAACATGCCTCAGACTGGTTGAAGCATCATTGACTGAAGTGGCAAGTAGGTTGAAGCGTCAGAATAATGTTAATAATACATGGAAATTCTAATTAAATAATATTTTTAAATATTTTGTGCTCTGATTTCGTTTATCGCTTATTGTGTAAAATGTTTAATGTTAATCCTGTGCACAACAGCAATTCTTTATGTTTACTGATAATTCTCGTCTCAGGAATAGCGTAATTGACAATATCCTGTTGTGATTCTGCAATAAATGTGTGAAAAAATCATGAATGCAGCAACTTACCTTTCCTAGACTGGCTGTAATGGTGTAGCGTAGATTCTGATCCCGAAGGTTTACCTCCGTGAGATCTCTCATAAGTTATTGTGCCTTAACTGTGTACAGTTAACGCAAGTCCTTCTGACCCTATTTAGACCGACACACGAGTAATTGCTTCGTATGAAATATTATGAAAAAGTCATAAGATTTAAATAACATTTTTGTTAATTCTTAAGATTGAAAAAAAGACAACTTCTGCTTACAAATAAAATTCTGTCACTTGCGTTAATAAAGTAACAAAATCGAAAGTCTACCATCAGCGTCTACCAAAACTGGTCTACTTAACTTGGCTTAATATTTTAAGGCGTGTTTTAAAGTTCGTTAACAGAATGACTAAAGCTGAATATTCATTGCGAGATCTGGACGACAGAACATAACTGCATTCGTCGTTGCAAAGAGCTCTTGTAAGTAAAACATTCAAAATACTTGACCTAAAAACTCTACAGTCTAATTTGCGTTTTGATTAGGACTACGGAAAGGTAAGTTATAGTAACGTTTAAATCATAAATACTCATCAGTTAGCATAAAATGTTTTTTAAAGTATGCAGATAAAATTTAGGATACATAAGCTACAGTCTGATATAATAGCATAATAGCCGCCCTCCGGTCCTTAGTCGCAACGGCAAATTAATGTTCCTTATCTCTTTGCTTGTTATTTCTTAATTTCCCATAGCAATTCAATAAAATTGTAAATACAATAACAGATTGTAAATTCATGTTTTTAAACAGTTATTAATATTTAAGTTATTTCAGTTTGGAATGATTAACGAAGCTGATACAGGATGAATCTTAACAAGAGGGCAAAACTTTATGGAGTTATAGAAAGCAACTATACGAGCAATATTCGTCACAGAATGATGATCGGAACACAAAAGGCTAGCCGATGGGTAGCGTTGTAAATGGTATACAAAGGGTCGGTCCGTACACCAACGGCATTTTCTACATTGGACGGCCGAGACTATGGCTGATTATACGAACCACGAAATTTCCAGGGTGATGGATAGGTGGAGGTGGTCCCATAGCTTGGCCACTAAGATCACCGCATCTCTAGTGTTTGGACATTTTCTTGTGGACCCATATAAAAAGCCTAATCTTTAAATGCCCCGTTGAAACGAATATGGATCTAATCGTCAGATTCTGTGTTGTTGCCGACGATACTCGGGAAATATCTGGTGAATTTGCAAATGTCCATCAGTCCCCTATAGCGCAGGCGTCAAGCCGGCATTACATCTGGCGGAAGGTTTTTTGAGCAAATTCTTTGAACATGTACACCAATTACGTTCGTGTTAATAAAATGTTTCCTGTAATATTTCTTAGTGTTAATTCTTTAAATGTGACAGTGGAAAACTGCCTTTAAATTCTCACCGCTTGCGTTCCGACCATGCATTCTGTGACGAATATTGCTCGTAAATTTGACTTCTGTCACCCCTAAAGTTTTGCCCACTTGCTCAAATTCACCCTGTATAACTCGAATTTCTACTGCTGTGTTAGTCTATCATTTGAAATCATTTGTATTTAAGAAAATTATCTAATAAGCAGATTATGGAGTCTATCCCTTTTGCCAGGAACGTAATTTAACAACGGAGTAATCCTTTGTATACGACAAGAAAGATCCCTTAAAAATTCGAAAAAATGTTCTCATTTAATATGTATGCGTTTTGAATATTTGTTTTGGAGTATTCATCCCCCAAAAAATATAGCACTTTGTTATTTCTTAACACATTTTACCTTAGATCTTATTTCATTTTTCATATTTTTACTTGAATTTTCTTTTAAATTTCAGATAATACTGTCCATTATGGCGAAACATTAACTATTCATAAAGTGAGTCGGCTTCATATGGGAGCTTACCTCTGTATAGCATCTAATGGCGTGCCTCCATCTGTTAGCCGTCGAATTATGCTTCAAGTAAATTGTAAGTATAATGAAATATATTTTTATTTCTTATCCATATGCTTATAGTTTTACTTCCTAAAATTCATAATTAAAAAACACTCCAGACATAGTGACCTTGACAATATGTTCATGAGAAGTTATTAAGAGAGATATCAGAAAACTTATACTAGCTCTCTGGCAAACTTGCTGGATAGTCGGGCATTTTGCTAAAGGAATGAAAACAACAAATATGACGGTTTTTCACAAAACTGATAAATATTCGTTTGATTCATTATTTTAGAGACCAGTTAGTCTACTAGTCAACTAGTCTGTTAGTAAAATTCTGGAAAAAGTAATCCTTTCCTGACTAAATTTCTTTCTGGAAATAAAGAACACCATCCATCCTAAAAATATGGCACTAGAACGAAAGATCAACGGGCATACATTAAAAAACCTCCTAGACACTTAACTCTTTCACAACCAATCCGCCCCGCCGGCCCTACATTGAAACAACCAGAACCGCCCGAAGACGGCAGAGATTATAATCTTGTTTTCTTCCCTCCCCCTAAGGTATGCAGTAGCAGGTGCACTTTCCCCCAAATGCTTTGTATCAGTTAACTGCAGACAGCTTGTCTTAAGAGGTCTCTTGTCTTTTGGTTGCTCGTGACATTTCGTTGTTGATTCTTTTGTGGTACAGTGTGCTTTTAAGCTTAAACAGCAATAAAAGTGCAGTTTAAAAATTTAAGGATTATATTTATTTTTAATCAATTTATTCCTTCCTATAAAAACAGCGGAAATAAACAAAATCTCAGTCTTGAACATAACAAAGACAGAAAGGCTTGTTGGTCTGACCTTCAGAATAGTTTTATAAAGAATGGGGTCAAAGGCTAATGGGATCTTTGTTAGAAAGTGCAAAGGATGTCATTCGAAATCTTCACACCTATTTTCTGCGTTAATGTACGGGGAGAGGAGGAAATTGCTGTGAAACTGGAAAAGTATTTCGGGCGGTTCGGTATTTTGAGGATACAAGTTAGCGAAGGATCTGGATTTCAAAGAGCATTATTTTTTTAATTTCAAAGAGCGTTATTTTTATTATTTTATAACATACATTATTTTTAAAGAAATTAAATGATGAAGAATCTTCATGAATATATGAAGATTTTTTAGCAGTGTGAAAAAAGACGATATTAAAGCCATCAAATTTTGAATAATGTAGTCCGCTATCCCAACATGTGCACCTCGAAGACCGAATTTAGAATTATTTTGTTATGCATTTCATCTTTTGTAAAACTTTAATGAATAGTTTATCAGCATACTCAAAGTTTTAAAATATCTGTTAATTTTACTGTTGAACTTATCTTATATGGCTCAAGTGCGAAGACCGTGATATTTAATAAATAAATTTATCACGCAAAGCGTTTGTTACTAAAACACAATTTTTTTTCTAGCTATCTTTCTAAGGAAACTGAACACTGATAAACTGAGAAAAATGTGCAAAAAGTGAAAAACATGTCCGCGAGCACTTAACACTGCAACGGGAATTCTAAATTTTCTTAAATTAAATAAAGATTTTGTCATTTTGTTGTTGAATTGTATATGGTGTAAGTGTGAAGGAAATGATGCTTAACAATGAATCCAGAAAGGCAAAACAAATGGGTTATCAGGATTGACAGATAAAATTGAGAATATTTATCAGATTGTAATTGTTACGAGTCGACAATGTCTCTAACCATGACAGACTGTGCTTTCTCGTGAAATATTATTATGAATGCGATAGCATGCATTAGCAGTGGAGGAAGCAGTAGTGGAAAGCACATACGGTACTTGCAGCATAAGTGTTTTAGCACAGCGAATGAACGAACCATGGAGTACGGTTTACAAAATTTTCCGTAAAGTGCTGCAGTTCTTCCCATACAAAATCAAACTTGTTCAACAACTTAAAATTAGCGATCTTGCTGTAAGAGAATCTTTTGTTTTTGAATTCCTTCTACAGATGGAAGTGGACGAACATAGACCATGCAACATTTTGTGAACAGACGAGGCTCATTTTTACCTGAATGGCGATATCAACATCCATAACTGCAGGATGTGGTCCAAACAAATTCCTCATGTTGTATACCCAGTTCCATTGCATCGTCCTAAAGTCACCGTTTGGTCTGGTTTGCAAGCTAGTTTTATAATTGGACCATTTTTTTAAGAGCAGTTGACAGCTCTACCTCTTACATGCATTGTGACTACAGTTTGGCTTAGCGTCAAAGTTAAGACGTTTCGTCATACCTGAACTGCAGCAACGTGGCATTTTAGACACCACGATTTTTATGCAGGAAATGGCCCCACCGGACATTGGTACATGTGTCACACAGTTACTCAGGCAACATTTCATGAATGAAAGGCTTACAGGCCGACACTTACCAACTTCTTGGCCACCCCGGTCACCAGACCTCAACGTCTGTGACTTTTGGTTATGGAATTATCTCAAAAGCACTGTTTATAGTGATAATCTAAACAGTTAGGCCTAATTGAAAGATGTCATACGCCAACATGTCCGTAACATTCCTCCTGATATGCTAAGAGCTGCTGTTGAAAAAGCAGTAATGCGATTTAACTTGCTTTCGAAAAGTGTTGGACGCCACATTGAAAATGCTTTGTAACACATTTCAGAAACGATTAAACACAATTTAAACCGATGTCTGCATGTCTTATTTCGTTTAACAATATTGCATACAGCGACATTTCGCCCCTGGTGGTGAGTTTTTGAACTTATATATATATATATACGGAAAATTAATTCTCATTACCTACTATACACGATTACCAAGTTTGATAGCATTTGGTACAGTAGTTTCTTTTTATGTTTATTTTCAAAGAATTCACTTTAATGACAACTATCCGGTATAATGTTTCAATATAAAATTGGAACAGATCATTTGATTATCATGTAAAAAAAAATTTTACTTTCTCTGAAAGAAAGTTCTATCTCTGAAGATCGTTCATGTCCTTTTCATTTTCAAATTGACTGAGAATTTTTTTTCATCCTTTTTTTTTTGGGGGGGGGGTTAGTACAAAATGTTTTTAATGGCAATCTTTCATTACTTTTTCAAAATAAGATTTGTATTTTTTAGTAATGTAGTCTTTTAATGATATCTTATCGTGACCATTTTTGTCATACATTGTATGAAGCGCATTTGTCATTCTATAAAATGTCTCGGTGGTACCTAAAATACCTAGGTAAAGTATATAATAATTCTCATATTTCATATTTTGCCTAAAAACATCCGGCAATATATGCAATGCCTAGACATCCTACAGAATGCCGGCGTATCATACTTTGGCGGTAGCATATATATTTAAAATACATTCGATAAGTGTATGCTCGTCCTTGTAATCACCGTAGAATAGCTTTAAGCTTAAATTTCGAGGTTCGATGGATTGTGTCGGTTCTCTGTAACAGTTTTAAGTTGCAATAATTAATAAGTGTTATGCTTCGAAACCAGATATCTATCTGTTATGAAACGAAGAAAATTGAAAAACAGGATTGACAAATGACTGCGAAGAAGCAAATTGCCTCTTTGTTACGTAGACACGCGGCGCAAGATAAATGACCGTTAGAGATTACTGAATTGCAAATTTTATTCCCTGTAGTATAATACTAGCTCTTTTCCTACGGATAATATACGCATATTTTCACTGAAATTCACCAGATGTTACAATTTTCCTCAGTATTACATCCTTTTCCCATATCTTTCTCTCCTTCTTATTTTTGAACATGAATGCTGCAAAAGTCATTCTAGACGTGAATTTGTCTTAAATATTAAAACGTAGGCGTGAATATTGTCATATTTTAATTGCGTAAGAAAACGATATTCCAATAATCGAAGCATTTTTACCTTCAATCTGATCATAAAAATCCCCTGCATAAAATATAATACTTTACTGAAAAGCTAAAAGAAATTCGAGCAGGACACAAGTCTTGTTAAATCCTCCTTAACCCTTTTTGGTAAGCTACATTTTAAAGTCGGAGTTTTGATTTAAAAAAAAACGGTAGGCAGTCTAATTAGGCCTAGTGGAGTACACAAGTAAAATTTTGTAAAGATAACACTTATCGTTTATTTCTGAGGGTGTGCCCGAAGATGGCACACTGATTGAATAGAGCTTCGAAAAGAGTGCTGAAACGAGCATTGTTCTCAATGAACTGACCGATGAAATGCGCAGAAACAAAGAACACAGGCTCTCAGTAGTCCTAGATTATCGGTGAGCTCGGTCTGGGCACACCTAGGGTTCGCCGTTTGATTTTAGGCAAGATTTCAAGGTAAAAATTTGAAACTAATATATAATGAGGAGATTAGCATACAGCCAAAAATAACATAGAAATTTCTTTTCAAACAATTACTTTTATGGCCTAAAAAAATCTAGAAGAATTCTTTGAAAAATGAGGGTCTTAGAAAACTAAGCATGGCTAAACTATATGGACTGGTTTGTGTTGAGCTGCCATCTACTATAAATAAAGAAGGTTCAGAGTAACCTATAGTAACCTATAAATCCTTTTTCATTCAATTTTCTGTGCGTACAGAAGGAAAATTTTATTTGTGTCCAGACTGGACACACTGTGCCGCAAAGGAACCTGTCAAAGAAGGAAGCAGCTAAGAAGGAATATATTCCAATATTATCTCTCTTGTTGCGTATCCCCCGATTTCTGTAAGCAATGTATCAAAATTTGAGCAAGTCGTGATTTCCGCTGAGATGCATTTTTTTCGGTCTGTTTCATTGTGCAACTCGATCTTTTCCCCTTCATGGTTTCATTTCAGCTTTTCTGTAATATTCAATTGATTATTCAAATCTGGATTAACAGATTTCGTTAGCTGCCCATTTTTCTACGAAATATACCAGGATATTTTGCACCATTTTGCGCGCTCTATTCAAAGCTCAAACATGTCTGTAGTTCAACTCTTAAGCATATGCCACTAACTGGTCGACATTTTACTAGCCATATATTCCCCTATCCTATCAAGAGAGAGTCTCGTAGACAGTGTGCTGTTTATT